CCTGGGAATCCCTGGAGCCTGCCTTCTTGGAAAGAGCAGGGCCCGAGCACAGGAACACATTTTAGATGTGCCTGCAGGGAGCAGGATTCCTCGGTAGGCACTCATCCTTACCCGGAAGCTTCAGGCTCTTTCTTGGTTTTGAGTGTTTTCACACCTGTGACAGATGACATGGCCAGTCACACTGTATGGAGAAACTTAACGGAAAGGAATCCTGATCCAGATTCCAAGAGAGGTTCTTGGATCTTGCACAAGAAAGAATTAGAGGCAAATCCATAGTGTAAAGTGAAAGCAAGTTTATTAAGAAAATAAAGGAATAAAAGAATGGCCACTCCATCAGCAGAGCAGCCCCCAGGGGTGCTGACTGGCTTTTTTTTTTTTTTTTTTTTTTTTGCTTATTTCTGGATTATATGCTAAAGGAGTGGATTATTCATGAGTTTTCTGGGGAAGGGGTAGGCAATTCCTGGAAATGAGGGTTCCTTCCGTTTTAAGACTATACAGGTAATTTCCTGATGTTACCATGGCATTTGTAAACTGTCATGGTGCTGATAGAAGTGTCTTTTAATATGCTAATACATTATAATTAGCATATAATGAACAGTGAGGATAACCAGAGGTTACTTTTGTTGCCATCTCAAGTTTTGGTGGGTTTTGCCCCATTTCTTTACTGCATCCTTTTATTGACAAAGTCTCTGTGACCTGTACCTTGTGTTAGCCTATTTCATTCTGTGACTAAGAATGTCTAACCTCCTGGGAATGCAGCCCAGTAGGTCTCAGCCTTATTTTACCCAGCCTGTATTCAAGATGGAGTTGCTCTTGTTCAGATACCTCTGACCAAAACCTCTGTAGGGGAGCAGGACTCAGCAGACAGGCTGTGGCCCAGACAGCAGCTGCCGAGCTGATGGAGCCTGCACCCACCCAATTTGGCCAAAGAAGCCCCCATACTCTCCATGAAAAAGATTTCCAGAAGCTGCTGTGTCAATAACAGTCTCAAAACAAAAGCAAAACCACCAACACTGAAGATCATTCTAGAGTCTGATTTGAAAACTAGGGTCACATTCTGCAGGGACTTTCAAGTGGCAAAAAAATCACCCTAGTAACCAGATCTACAGTCTCATCCATCACACCAGGGAAAATGCTCCATTCGCCGTTCCTCAGCTTCTGGTTCTGGTTTCTGAGTTCTCTCTATATTGGAGGGGTTTTAAAGCTAGAGGGACCTTTGCCCACTTACTCATTCACAGGTCTGAATATGGAGGTCAAGAGGGGAAGTGACATGTCCTAAGTCAGAGTAGATAAGAAAATAAGCCGTTGACTGAGCCTTAGTGTATACTGGGCACTGGCTAGCTACTGGGGATATGGAGATGAAGAAAACATAGTCCCTTTTACAAAGAGCTCCATCTAGTAAGGTAGAAAGATTGTTTTTCTTTTTTTTATTATTTTTTTTTTAGATGGAGTCTTGCTCTGTTGCCAGGGTGGAGTACAGTGGTGCCGTCTTGACTCACTGCAACCCCCACCTCCCAGGTTCAAGTGATTCACCTGCCTTAGCCTCTCAAGTAGCTGGGACTACAGGTGTGCGCCACCACGCCCAGCTAATTTTTGTATTTTTATTAGAGACGAGGTTTCACCATGTTGACCAGGATGGTCTCGATCTCTTGACTTTGTGATCTGCCTGCCTCAGCCTCCCAAAGTGCTGGAATTACAGGCATGAGCCACCATGCCCAGCTGGTAGACAGACTCTTTGTAGGCAGGACCAGGCTTCCCTGAAGCAGAAGGAAACTTGAAATTAGGGTAATGAGCCTCACCAGGGGTGGCCACCACACTGCCCCGAGATGATTATGTGTGGACACAGGGCTATGACATAGCCCTGCTTTGACCTTGTAGCTGTGCTGTAGGGCTAGATGGGGCCTGGAGTGGCCTGAGCTAGGGGCTGCCATGAGCTCTTTCCACTCCTCCAAGGCATTGCATAAGTAATGTCACTTTCTATTTGTACAGCAAAATCAAGAATACAGTTTTCTGTAATACCAGGTGCCTCCCCTACCCCCAGCTCAGTGAGTGGTCTACCTGGTCAATAGGCCCTTGTTTGTGTTAGACACAGAACACTAGTGGTAAGCTCTGGCCCACAGGCCACTGGCAAATGGAAGCAGAGCTGCAGAGCCCTCAGGAACCACGGAGCACCTCTGTCTGCCACACAGTGCCCACCCAGCTTCTGCTGGCCCACCTGTGGGCAGTAGTAATTAGTGATGTGCAGCCTAGGACTAGTGCCAGGGAACCTATGGACACTCTGGGTGATCGGACATGTGCTGCTGTGGTGGCCTTTATGATCAGGAGATGACATGCAGTGAGAAGAAGGGAAGAGACGGCCCAGGGGGTTCAGACCAGGGTGAGGTCCACAGAAAGGCCAGGGCCAAGATGTGGTCAGCACCCCAAGCCGGTGGGGGCCTCGTATCACCCATGCTGGAAGTCAGTCCTTGACTGCTCCAAAACCTCTGCTTGAGGGATTCTAAATGAAATGAGCAGGCCTTCCCTTCAGGACATGACTGAGTGATATGGTTTGGCTCTGTGTTCCCACCCAAATCTCATCTTGAATTGTAATAATTCCACATGTCAAGGGCGAGACCAGGTGGAGGTCATTGATTATGGGGGCTGTTTCCCTCATGCTGTTCTCATGATAGCGAGTTCTTACAAGATCTGATGGCTTTATAAGTGTCTGGCATTTCACCTGCTTGGTCTCATTCTCTCTCCTGCCGTTTTGTGAAGAGGTGCCTTCCACCATGATTGTAAGTTTCCTGAGGCCTCCCCAGCCATGCAGAACCATGAGTCAATTAAACCTCTTTTCTTTATAAATTACCCAGTGTCGGGTATTTCTTCATAGCAGCATGAGAACAAACTAAAACAGTGAGCTTCTGAGAAAAGCATGAAAAAACAGGCCTCCTGAACTTCCCCAAGTGACTGATGCAAATCACATCCCTCACACTTCACAGCATGCTGGAGATCTTTAAGGACAAACTGCAGATGATCTGAATGACAGCACTGACCATCAGCAACCTGCACAACTGCCCAGCCAAGAAATTGCAAGATGGAAGCAACACTTGCAGGCAAAGAAGGAGAAGAAGGAAAGGCTGGAGCAGACCAAGGCAAGAATGAAACAGCCCATGAATACTGGAGTGAGACAACTGACCTCCCTGGCCCACACCGTGCTGAGCGCCCTGTATCTGCTCAAGGGTGGTAAGAGACTACGTGGAGGACGGGGACTTGGCAGTGAATGGGGATCAGCGAAGGACATAGTGGGTCCCCCAGCGTCCCGGCCACAAGTTCCTCTGAAGACTGTGGATGACAATGGTAGCATAGGTGCATCCTTCTTATTTCCTGAGGGGTAGTTGGAGAAGCAGAATGCAATTGTGGGAAGAAATCCAAAGAAGGAAAGAATTCACAGGACAAGTCCAAAGTCTGATCGGCAAGCAGGCCTTTCCATTTTTTTCATGGAGTCTTGCTCTGCCACCCAGCTTGGAATGCAGTGGCACGATCTTGGCTCACTTCAACCTCTGCCTCCTGGGTTCAAGTGATTCTCCTTCCTCAGCCCCCCGAGTAGCTGGGATTACAGGCATGTGCCACCATGCCAGCTAATTTTTGTATTTTTAGTAGAGACGGGGTTTCGCCATGTTGGCCAGGCTGGTCTCGAACTTCTGAGCTCAAGTGATCTACCTGCCTCAGCCTCCCAAAGTGCTGGGATTACAGGTGTGAGCCACCACGCCAGGGAGCAGGCCTTTCTGCAGGGTGCCAGGGCACAGCCTGAGGGGGAGTTCCTGAAGCTGTAGCTGACCCTCCCCACTCTATCTGAACTGCATGGAGAACACATGATGGGGCCTCAGCAGCAGTCCATGGAGGAGGACACCTACTGCCTGGACCCCGACCAGCGACTTCACAAGGCACCTGAAAACTTGAACTGCTTATATCACACTGCTACAAGTTGTTCCAAGAACTGGCCCAAGAATTGAAGAAAGACACTTCCAGTTTTCATAACAAGACCCTCTTCCATGAGAAAACACCTCAGGAAAGCTGGGTGACTGCCATGTCCACTGAGAGAGCACTCTGGGCACTCTGGAAAAAAAAATGACCACAACAGGCAGAAGCCAGCTGACTGTGAGGCCAAGTTCCTGCCCCCACAGGGGCCAGGAAGTGCCAAAGGAACCTGGAAGTGCCAGGGCTCCCAGGAGGGAGGCAGGTCACGATGTGAGGGCTTGGGTCCAAAGCACCAGCGGGTTTGGTTATGTTTTCCCTGTAGCCAGGTTCTGAATGCCCACAGCCCCAGCAGAACATCAGCCAGTGCTGCTCCTCTGAAAGCGCTTTTGGTTGGTCTCTTGTTAGTTGAGCTACTATTCATTAGTTGATGCTGAAATTGCCCTTATTGAAGTTTGATAGACAGTGTTAGGTTTGTACGATACCATTTTTCAAATAAAGATAGCTTACTATGAAAAAAAGAAAAGCACTTAGTACAACACATGATATATTGTTAGCGTTCAAAAAATATTGTGATTATTGCCATTACTTAAAAAGTACACATCAGCTTGGTACAGTGGCTCATGCCTGTAATCCCAGCACTTTGGGAGGCTGAGGCAGGTGGATCACCTGCCTGACCAGGCTCAGGTTAGGAGTTCGAGACCAGCCTGGCTAACATGGTGAAACCATGTCTCTACTGAAAATACAAAAAGTTAGCCTGGCATGGTGGCAGGTGCCTGTAATCCCAGCTACTTGGGAGCCTAAGGCAAGAGAATCGCTTGAACCTGGGAAGCAGAGGTTGCAGTGAGCCAAGATCACGCCATTGCACTCCAGCCTGGGTGACAGAGTGAGACTCTGTCTGGAAAAAAAAAAAAGTACACATCATAGAATTATGAAATCACAGAATGTTAGGTATACAAGGCATTTGCTAGTGAATACATTGATGGTCATTTCTTATTTTGTTTAGAACATGAATACATATAAAATTTTACTATTTACATTTTCAGGAATCCTTAAACACATTACTTAAACAGCTAGAAAAAGAAAAGAGGACTCTTGAAAGTCAAGTGAAATACTATGCACTTAAACTGGAACAAGAATCAAAGGTTTGTTTTTACTCTATATACTTAGCAATTCCTTTGAAACTGCCATTATTTCTAATGTTATCTACAAACCTACTCTATAATTATCACAAAATGCTTACAAAACTATTTCCTATACTATAGAGACATACACCTTAACTTAGTCTTGCTAGTATTGCTAATCTTCTCATATGCTGGACCCTTTACTTTTGTATCTTCACATAGGCTTACCAGAAGATCAGCAATGAACGCCGTACATACCTAGCTGAAATGTCTCAGGTAACTCTTTTTTATTTCCAAATTCTAAGTGTTTCTTCTTACTATAAATTACATTTTTCACTTTTCTAGGTTTTGTTTTGGTTTGGGAGAGAAGCAGATGTTGGAATTAAGTTTCTAAATATGGAGGGTAGACAAGAAAATACACAACTTGTATAAAAGATAAAAAGGGCTGGGTGTGGTGGCTCAAGCCTCTAATCCCAGCACTTTGGGAAGCCGAGGCGGTCGGATCATGAGGTCAGGCGTTTGAGACCAGCCTGACCAACATAGTGAAACCCTGTCTCTACAAGAAATGCCAAAAATTAGCTGGGCCTGGTGGTGAGCACCTGTAGTCCCAGCTACTTGGAGGTGAGGCAGGAGAATAGCTTGAACCTGAGAGGCGGAGGTTGCAGTGAGCCGAGATCACACCACTGCACTCCAGCCTGGATGACAGAGCAAGACTCAATCTCAAAAAAAAAAAAAAGTAAAAAGGACATAACAGTTTTCCAAATTAAGAGATTATTTTTCATATTTGCTTCCTTAATTATCCTTTTAGTTTCATCCCTAATCACTAGAATTCCAACTGGTAGCTGCTATCTCTGTACTATCATGAAATTCAAGGCACTTCACTTTATAATAATGCATGGTAAGGTCTGAGAGATCAGAATTGCTGTTGGTAGAAGTGCATACTTATAAATACAGGACAGGGAGGTGATCAGTAAGTTATGAAAGATGTTGCATCTATTTTCAAGCTATTCATTTGCCTTTCAGTTTTATTTATGATATTGTTGGTATTGTAGAGTTTTTGTTTTGACCTTGTCAGAGCTATCTTTTATTTATGATTTCTAATGTTATAGTTAAAAAGACCATCTCAATGTTTCACAGCATTCACCACATCTTTTAGTATTTGTATAGCATAATATCTGACATTTAAATATGTAATCAGTATTAATCTTATTTTGGTAATGTTTTAAGATTAGGATGTAAACTCGGTTTTCAGTGTGTATTATCCAAATGGAAGTGTCCAAAGAGCAGTTGGATATATGACTCTCAGGAAACAAATAAAGATTTGAAAATTGTTAACATATAAAAAGTGAAGTAGGCCAGGCATGGTGGCTCACGCCTGTAATCACAGCACTTTGGGAGGGCGAGGCAGGTGGATCACGAGGTCAGGAGATCAAGACCATCCTGGCTAACACGGTGAAACCCCATCTCTACCGAAAATACAAAAAATTAGCCGCGCGTGGTGGCGGGCGCCTGTAGTCCCAGCTACTCGGGAGGCTGAGGCAGGAGAATGACGTAAACCCGGGAGGCGGAGCTTATAGTGAGCCGAGATCGCACCACTGCACTCCAGCCTGGGCGAGAGAGCGACACTCTGTCTCAAAAAAAAAAAAAAAAAAAAAAAAAATGAAGTCATTGAATCAATGAAATGCATTGGGAATAATATACAGTGGGAAAAGAAAAAATAGTCTAGGATATAGCTGTGAAGAAGTTCAACAGTGACGATCAAGGGAAAAAGAGCCGAAAAGAGGGTTGGAGTCCTGAAGACACAACTAGGTCTGACAAGGAGGTAGAGGATATTGAGGATGGGAGTAGCATGAAGAATAATCTGCTAGTCACTGATCCCGAATATCTAGAGGGATTAATGAAAGGATTGAGAGGAAGAGCATTAGGTTTGGGGATTAGAGCCAATAGGGGGATATTTAGAAAATTTGAGAAAGGTCTATCATGGGTAAAGGGAAGTGTGTGTTGTGGTGTTGACTAAGGTAAACAAGAAGAAATTGAGACAAGATAGGATCAGCTCTTGCAGTCTCTTGTCTGTAAAATGGATGATTAGCTTAAACTTCATGGTCCTTGATACTGGGCTGGATGCATTGATTCCTCCTAGAACACAGGCACCCTTATGCCTTTCCTCAGACTATGTGCTTGGAATGTGCTCCTTCTCATACATGCCAGTTCCACTTCCTTCAAGGTCTAGCACAAACACTACCTCTTTATGGGGCCATGACGTGATGAAAAGACCAGACTGTAGTGGGATTGCAAATCTGAATCTGAATCCCAGCTCTGCACTTGCTATTATGTGACCTTTCTGGGCCTTAATTTCCTTCCTCACCTGTGAAAAGAAAGTATCAGTATCTTGCAGGGGTTTTGTGAGTATGTAGAGAAATAATATATGTGCAGTGCTGGGTGAAGTTTCTGGCACATAGTAGGTTTTAAATTCCAGGAAATGGTGAATATCACTTTCCTATGTTTCTTTTCTGATTTTCCGAGCCCCTCTGTGACAGGGACACCAGAATTTCTGCTTGCCTTAGCCTTCCTCCTGGTCCCTTATTGCTGATACATCTGTTTGCTTCACTCAGCTGTAGGTTCCTCCCTGAGGTCAGGCAGGGTGACTCATGCTTTCTATTCCCTTTCACAAAGAGTGGCAAAAAGGAAATATGCAAAATTCTTTACTGAACTGAACATAAAATAGAAATTTATGTTCATAATATTAAGCCCAAGTTATTAAGAAAAAGGTGATATATAAAACATTGTTGAAGGATTCTTTTAAGGTTAAAAGTAGTCTTTTGTCCCCAAGGCATTCATTTACCTTTGTTTATCTGAAAAATTCACTTATGTGAAATAATCCTACTCTGACTCCACAGGATCACTGAACATACGATAAAAGCCTATTTTAACAGCTTCCCAGGAAGATGTTAATCCTGTCCCCAGTATAAATGTTAATAAGGATTTTCACTCTAGAGTGAATTGTTAATCTCTATAGTGAAGGACAGTTCTAACCATGTGGATACTATGGTGATTGGAAAGGTTAATGGATGATTTGCAGTTCTTCCCAGGCTGAATACATAAATAATTGATTCATTGGTAGATAACTAGAGCTATTTGCTGAGTGTGCTGTTTATCCTTCTGCTGCTGTCCTCTCTGTGGCTTTGTCTCACTCTTGATTCACTGTTTTGAATGAAACTGAGTTTCCCCCTCTTGGGAGTCTTCTGATATGCACAACGTAAGAACACTACGGACATTGCTTTTTAATACATAGGTACGTTACATTACTTAAAGTCAGGCAGAAAGACTGATTAGAGCTTTTTGCAACACATAATAAACTTAAGCTTTAGCTTCTATCCTCGTAAACATAGAATTTTAGCAATGGCTGTGAGAGGTTGAGGAATATAATGCTTTTAGCTCACAGATAAGGAATCTGAGGCTTTTCTGTTTCATTATCGGGAAGTTCTAATTGTTAAAATTGTTAAAATATCATATGATGCCTCTTATTCTCCTTTCCTGAAACTTCCTTAAAATCCATTGGTTTTAGTTACATCCTCTGAAGAATAAGAACAAGTCTACACTCTTCCTGCAAGATAGGTTTTCAAAGATTTGTAAATGCCTCTCAGTCTTCCCTTAGTTTTTTGTTTTGTTTTGTTTTCTAAGCTAAAATATTAAGTTACATTAGCCATTCCCATAACATAGGTTCCAGACTGCCCAGGTATTTCAGCTGCCTTTTTGGACAATTCTGTTATTGTTCATTTAAAAATGTGGCTCCCTAGGTTTAAATGTAGTACTTAGGTTTAAATTTAGTACTTTAGATATAATGTCAACAGCATAGTGACCAAAGTCTTAACTAACTCTGCCACACCCATTTTTCTTCTCTGCTGCCTATCATTCTGAAATACAGATACAATAGTGTTGTTTCCTGTTAAAAACCTTCAGTTTGCATTACCCAGAGGATCACAGCAAAGCTCTGTGGTGTGGTCTCTATGGGGTCCTCTCCAACTTGGCTGTACCTGTCTCTGCAACCTTGTCCCTGCTAATATCCTAGACTGCCGTTAGACCAAATGCTATGTGCAGTTTCTGGATATATCTACTGCGTTATACCTGAGGTTCCTTACTGTTCCTTCTACCTAGAATATCCTTTCCTTAGTTCTTAATTGGCTACTCTTCCATGTGGAGCCCCCCAAACCCTCAATTAACTACATCTCCTGTATGCTTACAAAGCACCTGTGCACATCTCTATCAAGGCATTTAATTATAGTCACCTATTTATTTTGTTGTTTCCCCAATAGAACTAGGACCCGTTTGTCTTTGTACCTAAGTGCTTAATGTAGTGGCAGCATATAGTAGATGCTCCATAACATTAGCTGAAGGAATGAATGAATTCTATTTTCTGTTCCAATATACCCAAACCTGTCACTCATATCAAATGATCTAATATCTTAGCTCACACACAAAAAGCTTCTCTTATATATGCTGCAGAAAAACCAGGTTATGGGAGAGTTAATTGAGAATTGACTATCTCTCTTATTTCTGAAATCAATTATGAACTAAGAGGATAAACACTCAAATTTTTGTATTTCAGGGTTCTGGTTTACATCAAGTTTCTAAAAGGCAACAGATGGATCAACTGCCTAGGATGCAAGAGAATCTAGTGAAAACGTAAGTCTAGCTACATATTTTCTTTCTAATTAATTACATTTGCACATAAATGCCACTGACAAAACAGGTGTCCACTATATTTTGGAAGCAGAACGTCTAGGTTTTATAGCAACAATATAAAATTGCAGATGGTAAGAGAACTTAAAGAAGTTGTGATCTGTTCCACTATTTATACACATTTTTTTTTAGATCTCAGATACATTTTTGGTCCTCAAGCACAATAATATATTAGTTTTTAAACTAAAATAATATGTACCTAGGAGAGCTTAAAACTACACCATTAACAATGACATAAACATAGTCATACCTTGGAGATGTTATGGGTTTGGTTCCGGACCACTGTAATGAAGCTAGTATCACAATGAAGTGAGTTATACAAATTTTGGGGTTTCTCAGTATATATAAAAGTTATTTTTATACCATTATACCATTACTGTAGTCTATTAAGTGTGCATTAGCATTATGTCTAAAAACAATGTAAATCTCTTAATTTTAAAAGATTCTATGCTGAAAAATGCTATTGATCATCTGAGCCTTCAGTGAGTTATAATCTCTTTGCTGGTGGAGGGTCTTGCCTTGATGTTGGTGGCTCCTGATGAATCAGAGTGGTGGTTGCTGAAAGCTGAAGTGCCTGTGGCAAATTCTGAAAAGAGGGCAACAACGAAGTTGGATGCACCGATTGACTCTTTTATGGAAGATGTCTCTGTCATTTGTGTGGTGGTTTGATAGCGTTTTACCTACAGCGGAACTTCTTTCCAAATTGGCATAATCCTTTCAAAGTCTGCTGCTGCTTTATCGACCAAGTCCATAGAATATTCTAAATCCTTTGCTGTCATTTCAAAAATGACATCACAGCATCTTTACCAGGAGCAGATTTCATCTCAAGAGACCACTTTCTTTGCTCATTTGTAAGAAGCAACTCCTCATCCATTCAAATTTTATTGTCAGATTGCAGCAAGTCAGTCACCTCTTCAGGCTCTACTTCAAATTCTAGTTCTCTTGCTATTTCCAAAACATCTACCGTTACTTCCTCCACTGAAGTCTTGCACCCTTCATAGTCATCTGTGAGGGTTGGAATCAACTTCTTCCAAACTTCTTTTAATGTTGACATTTTTCTACCTCCTCCCATAAATAACAAATGTTCTTAGTGGCATCTAGAATGATGAATCCTTTCCAGAAGGTTTTCTCCCAGACCCGTCAGAGGAATCACTATCTGTGGCAGATATAACCTTATGAAATGTATTTCTTAAATAATAAGACTTGAAAGTTAAAATTACTCCTTGATAAGTGGGCAGCAGAATAGATGTTATGTTAACAGGCATTTAAGCAGCATTTATCTTCTTGTGTATCTCCCACAGAGTTCTTGGATGTAACCAGGTACATTATCAAAGAGTTATAATATTTTGAAAGGAATCTTATTTTCTAAGCAGTAGGTCTCAACACTGGGCTTAAAATATTCAATAAACCATGCTGTAAACTCTAAACTCTTGTGCTGTCATCTGGGCTTTGTTGTTTCATTTACAGAGTACAGGAATATTAGGTTTAGCATAATTCCTAGGATTTTCAGAATGGTAAATGAGCATTAGCTTCAACATAAAGTCACCGGCTGCATTAGACAAGTCAACCTGTTTTTTTTGATGCTTCGAAGCCAGGCATTGTCTTCTCCTCTCTAGCTAGGAATGTCTAGGTGACATGGTTTTCACAGTTTCCTCCACATTTTATTTTTAAAGTCACATGGACTGTGGGTCTGAGATAGGGGGATTTCCAGAATCTTCAGAGGTTTGATAATAATGGAGAAGGCCAGAATTTCCCATTTTTCTCAGCTGGCATCCTTTTCCTACAGAAGGTTGTTTTGTGTACATTGAAAATCTGTTGGTTAGTGTAATTGCCTTCATCGATGATCTTAGCTAGTTCTGGGTAACTTGCTGCAGCACATAAGACATACTTAATTCCTCCAGCAAAAAATTGCAGCAACAGGTATGACATCAACACTTGCTACTTCACTTGGTACTTTTATGTTATGGAGGGGGCTTCTTTCCTTAAGCCTCATGAACCATCCTCTGCTGGCTTCTAGCTTTTCTTCTGCAGCTGTCTCACTTCTTTCAGCCTTCATAGAGTTGAAGGGATTTAGGGCCTTCCTCTTGATTAGGTTTTGGCTTAAGAGAATATTGTGGCTTCTTTGGTCTTCTATCCAGACCACTCACATTTTCTCCATGTCAGCAAAAGGCTGTTTTGCTTCCTTATCATTTGCGTGTTCACTAACGTGGTGCTTTTAATTTCTTTTAAGAATCTTCCCTTTGCATTTACACTTTGGCTTAACTGTTTGGCACAAGAGGCCTAGCTTTCAGCCCATCTCAGCTTTCAACATACCTTCTTCACTAAATGACTAAGCTTATCATTTCTAGCCAAATTAAAGTGAGAGATGTGCAACTCTTCTTTTACTTCAGCACCATAGTAGGGCTATTAATTGGCCTAATTTCAATATTGCTGTGTCTTAGTGAATAGAGAAGCCTAAAGAGAGGGAGAGAGACCCGGGAATGGCTGGTTGGTAGAGCAGTCAGAACATACATACCTTTATTAAACAGTTTGCTGTTTTATATGGGCATGGTTTATGGCTCCCCAAAACAATTACAGTAGTAACATCAAAGATCAGTGATCACCATAACAGATATAGTAATAATTTAAAAGTTTGAAATATTGTGAGAATTACCAAAATATGACACAGGTATGAAATGAACATATGCTATTGGAAAAATGGTGCTGATCGACTTGCTGAACAGAGGGTTGCCAGAAATCTTCAATTTGTAAGAAAATGCAGTATCTTTGAAGCACAATAAAGTGAAGCATAATAAGACAAGGCATGCCTTTTTAGTCAGGAAATATGTTCACTGGAGTGGACACTAAAATAAACGTAGATGCCAGTGCAGTTTAAACTGTTTTCCTATGTAAATAAAACCAATTTAAGATAGATAAAGAACAGAGGGCCTGGTGCAGTGGCTCATGCCTGTCGTACAACATTTTGGGAGGCTGAGGCGGGAGGATTGCTTGAGGCCTCAAGTTCAAGACCAACTTGGGAAACATTGCAAGACTCTGTCTCTACAAAAATTAGAAAAATTGACTGGGTGTGATGGTGTGCACTGTAGTCCCAGCTGCCTGGGAGGCTGAGACGGAGGATCACCTGAGCCCAGGAGTTCAAGGCTGCAGTGAGCCACGATTGCACCACTGCAATCCAGCCTGGTTGACAGAGCAAGACACTGTCTCTTAAGAAAAAAAACCAGGAAAATATTTTGTGAGTTTAGAAGGTTATATCTACATGCAATTTTCCCTGGTCCTAAATACAGAAGAATTACTCAGGTAATCCTTGTCTGAGTAACTTTATCCTATGTAGGGGAAAACATTAATATGTAACTTAACACTATAAAAAATTAAGCCAAGATGTGAATCAGCTATAAGTCAGAATCCTTTTTAAATATAGGTCAAGGTAAGAGCCACTCAAGTATAGCAAATTTCCTTGGTGGAGATTAATGAGGTAGCAACATTTTGTCCAATAACCACTGTGTCCGAGTCCCCAAGACCACTCCCATCCATATTCAATGGTTCACTAGAAGAATTCATATACTGTCAGAGTCCCCAAGACCACGCCCACATTCAGTGATGCGCTAGAAGAATTCATAAGGATTGGCATATATTTGTACTTATGGCTAATATATATTTCTTTCCTTCCTTCCTTCCTTCCTTTTTTCCTTCCTTCCTTCCTTCCTTCCTTCCTTCCTTCCTTCCTTCCTTCCTTCCTTCCTTCTTTCCTTCCTTCCTTCCATCCTTAGCTAAGGAAAACAAAGCAAAATCAACCAAGGGATAAAGCTCATGGGATGAATTCTCAGAAAATTAGGCTCAAGCTTCCAAAAGTTTTCTCCAAGTTAGGGCCACATAAGACATACATAATTCCTCCAGCAAAAAATTACAACAACAAGTATGACAGTACTTGAAGTTTTATCTACCAGAGAAGCTCATTAGATACTTAGCACCTAATGTTTCTACTGGGAGCAGATCACATAGGCTTCGTCTGCCTGGCGTGCACCAAAATTCCAGACTCCCAGAAAGAAAGCAGGTGTTCAGTATAAACCACATTGTTTGTACAGACAGCATAGGCATAGTGAATCATTCTTTTCGTTTGGGAAAAGGTTTATATCAATGTAGGGAACTGTTTACCAGTAAGTTTCCAGATACCAGCCAAGGGCCAACCTTTTCTGTTCTTTTTATTAATATATATTCTTTTTCTTCTTCTGTTGTTTCCTTTTCTGTTATTTTTATATTGCTATTGTAATTCAGTAAATCAATCCACTAATGAGTTGCATTCTGCAGTTTGGAAAACATTGCTCTAAAAGACATCTCGGAGATTAAATATCTTTTACCAGTAAAGTACCTCAGCTTCATCATTAGTGTCATTAGTCAGTTTTTATTAAGACATTAGTGTCATCATGTTAGTTAGATCTTTTAGAAATGGGCCGTATTTTGGAAGCTACTCAAAACATCCTTAATGTAATAGAAAATCATTTCATACTATAAGTAATATCTATAATGAGCTATATTAATTAAATATAATAATTGAATGATTGTGATTAATTCCATATTTCACCAGAAGAAATCATTTTTTAAACATGATTAATAAACTAAAGAAAATTTTAACAGGAAATAAATTATTCCCAAAGCACATTTTAAAAAGTTATTTTATTGAGATATTATTCATATACCAAAAAAAATATCCTTTTAGCCTACAACTCTGTATCCTTAGCACTTCAAAAGGCCAAGGCAGGACAATCACTTGAGCCCAGGAGTTGAGCTGCAGTGAGCTATATTCGTGCCACTTCATTGCAGCTTGGGCAACAGAGCCAGACCTCATTAAAAATTTTTTTTTAAATAAAAATAATAAAGTGTACAACTCAATGATTTTTAGTATGTTCATGGGGTCATGCAAGCATCACTGCTAACGGATTCCAGAA